TAGCGGATGTCCGTTTTATTAAGCTCTTTCGTTAGTGTGACAACTTGAGAACGAAACGTCCGATTAAAATGATTCAAAATACGTCATGTATTTATTTTTCACTAGTAGTTGATCGGCCAATGCCACGGGTTAAAAATCATTACAATTTCCCCCGAAAATGGACTTGTCAAAATTAAGGAAATCGAGCCGGCTGTTTTTATGGGGGGCTATTAGGCTCGCCTCCTCTCCCGGGCTCCTCAATAGACACCCTCCCGCACCCGCCTCCGCAGCCCCCGCGCGGAGACCCACCAGTGGCTCCTGAGCGGACTGTATTTCTTTTGTTCTCCGGGTGTGAGCTCGGATGAACTCTGTCTCAAGATAAGTTGTCCAGAGCTCTATGACTTCGAGCAACCTTGGATTTGGTATTCTGTAACCCTCGGTACCGCCCCCCCAATATATTCTTCAAAAATGTGAGTTTTTGTCTGAAAAAGGACGTCGCGCCGATTTGGGTCAGAGCGCCCCCCGCTTCCACCCCCGCCGCTTCACAAAGGGGTTCATCACACATCGGCTGCTTGATACACATTTTTTTGGCGTCACATTCCTCCACAGCTGAGTATAAAGCAGATTGGATGTGAGCACACGGCTTGGCCGTGTACCCTCATAACCCAATCACACAGTTTCCGCTCCGACCGGCTACATTCTCTCTACCCTTTTTATACACATCACGTTTTTTCCCCCTTTACCCCGCCCTATCTGCTCTGCGAGATACATTTTTTGGCAAAGGATTGATTACTGGCCTACTTTGCGGAGGATGCGCCCTCCTGCCGGCCCGGCCCGCCGAGCCCCGAGGGAACAAAGCTGAGCCTCTCGAGACCCCGCCGGCCAAAAAGGCCAAAGTGATATTGCGGCGACAGCGGGATGCTTTCAAGATCAAGCACCCCTTGAAAGATCGCGAAAACACACGCAGCAGCATCAGCAGCAGAGCGAGTAGTTTCAAGGAACCGATGACGCGGGTTTTGTCTTTTTTTCGCCATCTTTCACGTGCGCCGCGCCGCGCATCGTCCTACACATCAAAAAGTAAAAGGTTTGATCGGCGGATGGGCTTCGTCGACGCCGTGACGCGGGGCTGGCGGCGGGGCGGGGGTCGCCCGGGACGTGTTGATGTGTGTTTGTTCAGTCCGAGCCGCGTCAGGTCGGGAATGGAATGAGACTGTGTCGATTCAAAGTCCTCACTGCTGCCCACCCCCACCCCCTCCCCGCCGTCACACAGCTTCCTCTCGGAGACACGCCAACATATTTTCGCCCGTCCGCCCGCATGAATAGATCGCCTATCGCCACCCTGGCCGCCGCGACAGTGTTGCGGTCCTAAACAAACCTCCGATCGACGACGGCGACGCGGCGACGACACGCCGTGGGACGCGCCGTGGGACGCGCCAAGTCGATCAGACTCCATCCATTGACATTCCCCAGGGTGTCTTTCGCACGAATATTGTTTATATTATTCTTCTGTAATGGGAACCTTTTTTTTATGCGTGTGTGTGTCTTTGAAAAGGTACAATATATAGGGGCATGTTTTACGGTACGATTGCCGCGCCGAAATTCAAACTCGTGCTGCGCTTGCGGACAGAGGTGCGAAGCGGTTAGCTTTGGCCCAGTTTCAACTGTCTTCAAACCCAACCAGGCCGAAAAATGAAGAAAAACAACACAAACGGGGCCGTGAAGCCCGCCCCAAAAACAAATAAGCCATCGGTACGTGCGCATCCTCAGGATGTGCACCGTGTTAACGGTACCGGAGAGGGAAAGGAAAGCAGCGCCTCCTGTCTGCCACTACCGCCGGCCAGGCTGATCGGAAGTTGTACTCCTCTGATTTATCCGATGCCCCCCCGGGTTGGATCGGCTGCGCACCGGACAGGACCGCCCGAACAAAAATATACTGTATCGGGTGCATAAGAGCGGTGTTGCGCGGGTTTGCCTACTGCTCCCGGTTGCCATGGCCCTGCAGAGCCCAAGAGGGAATGCAAACTACGATCGCAACTCTCCGGCATCCACTCTCATACACCCAGTATATAATGCTGTGTATAGATACAGTAAGTGTACATCCATCCGCCGTTGCGTATCCTCTTTCGTCTCTCATTCTCATTCATCCAGTACATTATAATCTCCATTTCACTCTGTCTACAACACGTGTCCAACACTCTCCTCCTCGCACACTCGTCGCTCGCTCTGAATGGGCGGCGGTCGCGGGGGAGATGAGAGGGAGCCGAGCGCAAATACACGATAATTGGCGCTCCAACGACGACGGGGCGCCAATCTGTCGGGATTTCATCAAAAAACCGCACACCTCCTCCTCCTCCTCCCGGCGAAAAGAGAAGAAGACGAGTTCACTGACCCTATGCCGCTATGGCCAGGGGACGTGTACATAATCGCGCTTTTGCAATTGAGCACACCTTTTTTGGCAATTTATTGCACGGACAGGTAAGTGTGCAACTCCCCGGCCGTATCCGCCATCCGCCGCCAATCCCATGTCAATAATGATCTGGTTGCACGTAGCCTTAGTTGCACAGCGCAAGGTCGCAAGGTTTCAAATGTTCACTTGAACAGGCCACCATTTTCTTGATTTTCAAAAAATTAATTAATTAATTTTTGGGGGTGTTTTCTTCGGCACCCGTTGGGGATGCAGTAGTGCGTGTGCGTTTTGCTCCTGCCACGCCCGGCCCGGCCACGGCTGCTCTCAAAGTGCATCAGGTGCTTTCTCATCCGACCAAGTCCAACCACCACCACCACCACGACCACCTCCTCCTCCTTGTCGTCCCCCACCTCACCCCACCCCCTCACACCTTTATACCTGCACGACCTGACCCGACCCACGCCAGGCACCACGCCGCACCGCGCCGCCACGCTCCCGACCCGCGCATGGGCCTCGAACGGCCCCGCCCAGGATGGAAGGGAGCCTGATCCTTCGTATATACCCTTTGGTCTCGTTCAGATTTCCAAAAAAAAAAGAGAGAAAAGGAACCCACAACAGGAGGGAAAAAGCAAAGCAGCAACCGAGATCTACACGAAAAATATTTTATCACAGAAATATAGACGCGGTGTGTTGCGAACGATCCTCATGGGATGTCACAAGTCTCGGTCACAATATACATACTCTGTACCAACTGTCTCCACATGCCACGACGGGCAAGCAGTTATTCAAACGTATCAGAGAAGAGGCCAAGTAAGTGTCGGAACAAAAATTAGGAAAAAAGAGGTACCTCTTAAAGAAGCTAACGGTTTTTGGGGGGCGTGTGAGCATGACTGCGCAGCCCTTTAACGGGGCCCTCACTTCCTCTCGAGGGCACCGCTATATTGTCGATCGGTCGAGATAAATGCAAATCTCCACATCCGGCGCGCGCGGAGCAGGGCGGACGCGCGGGGGGATGCCAGACGATCGGTGGGCTGCGCTCTGCATCCCCTAACGGCTC